TGTTGTTTGGCGGGTCCGGGCTGGGGATTCGAACCCACCACCTTAGGTGTACGTGGCTGGCGCCTTAGGCGGTTGAGCTATAGGCGCCGAGCCCTTTTTCTTTTTTTTTGAAACAGAGTCTCACTTTGTCACCCTTGGTAGAGTGCTGTGGTATCACAGATCACAGCAATCTCCAACTTGTGGGCTAGGGGATTCTCTTGCCTCAGCCTCTCGAGTAGCTGGAACTACAGGCACCCACCACAACACCTGGCTATTTTTTTTGTTGTTGCAGTTTGGCCAGGGCTGGGTTTTTGAACCCACCACCCTAGGTATATGGGGCCGGCGCCCTATTCACTGAGCCACATATGCTGCCCCTGTCAGTCAGCCCTCCTTATCTGTGGATTTCATATCCATGGATCCAACCAACCACAGAGTAAAAATATTCAGGAAAAAAAAAGATACCTTTGTCTGTACTGAACATGTAGACTTTTTTTTTGTCATTATACCCTAAATACAAATAATGATTATTTACATAGTATTATATCAGATATTACAAGCAATCTAGAGCTGATTTGAAATATACAGGAGGCAGTGCTTGGGAGGCTGAGGAAGATGGATTGCCTGAGCTCATGAGTTCAAGACCAACCTGAGCAAGAGTGAGACCCCAGCTCTAAAAAATAGCCAGGTGTTGTGGTGGGTACCTGTAGTCTCAGCTACCTAGGAGGCTAAGGCAAGAGAGTCACTTGAACCCAAGAATTTGAGGTTGCTGTGAGGTAATATGCCATGGCACTCTACCAAGGGTGACCAAGTGAGACTCTATCTCAAAATAAAATAAAATAAAATACAGGTGAGGATGTGTGTAGGTTATATGCAAATACTATACCATTTTATTTATTTATTTATTTATTTAGAGACAAGAGTTTCACTCTGCTGGCTCCCAGTAGAGTGCTGTCATCATAACTCATAGCAACCTCAAACTCTTGCCTCAGCTTCCTGAGTAGCTGGGACTATAGGCCCCTCCTACAACACCCAGTTAGTTTTTCTATTTTTATTTAATTTTATTATTATTATTATTATTATTATTTTTGCAGTTTTGGCTGGGGCAGGGCTTGAACCCACTACCCCCCCGGAATATGGGGCCTGCGCCCTACTCCTTGAGCCACAGGGGTCGCCCATTTTATTATTATTATTCTTTTCTTTTTTTTTTTTGAGACAGAGCCTCAAGCTGTTGCCTTGGGTAGAGTGCCGTGACATCACAGCTCACAGCAACCTCCAACTCCTGGGCTTAAGTGATTCTCTTGCCTCTGCCCCCCAAGCAGCTGGGACTACAGGCGCCCGCCACAATGTCCCACTGTTTTTTGGTTGCAGCCATCATTGCTGTTTGGAGGCCTAAGCTGGATTCGAACCCGCCAGCTCAGATGTATGTGGGTGGCGCCTTAGCTGCTTGAGCCACAGGTGTCGAGCCATTTTATTATTATTATTATTTTTTTTGAGACGGAGCCTCAAGCTATCCCCCTGGGTAGAGTGCCATGGCATCACGCTCACAGCAACCTCCAACTTCTGGGCTCAAGCGAGTCTCCTGCCTCAGCCTCCCAAGTAGCTGGGACCACAGGCGCCCGCCACAATGCCTGGTCATTTTTTGGTTGCAGCCATCATTGTTGTTTGGCAGGCCTGGGCTGGGGATTCGAACCCGCCACCTTAGGTGTATGTGGCTGGCGCCTCAGCCACTTGAGCCACAGGCACCGAGCCCATTTTATTATTTTTTTTTTGAGACAGAGTTTTCACTATGTCACCCTTGGTACAGTGCTGTGGCATCAAAGCTTACAGCAACTTCAAACTCCTGGGCTTAAGCAATTCTCTTGCCTCAGCCTCCCAAGTAGCTGGGACTACAGGCAGCCACCACAATGCCTGGCTATTTTTTGGCTGCAGTTGTCGTTGCTGTTTAGTTGGCCTGAGCTGGGCTTGTACCCACCAGCCTCAGTGCATGTGTTTGGCGCTGTAACCACTGTGCTGGCCTATTTTATTTATTTATTTATTTTTTGCAGGTTTTTTTTGGCCAGGTTTGAACCCGCCACCTCCAGTATATAGGGCCAGCACCGTACTCCTTTGAGCCACAGGCACCACCTATTTATTTTTCTTTATTTATTTTTTGAGACAGAGTCTCACTATGTCACCCTTGGTAGGGTACCGTGGCATCACAGCTCACAGCAACCTCAAACTCTCGGGCTTAAGTTTATATAAGGGACTTGAGCATCTAGGATTTTGGCATCTGTGGGGCGTTCTGGCAGCAATCCCTCATAGATACCCAGGGGTATCCTAATTCAGGAGAGAACACCTGTGTTGGAGGGAATGAGGGGTTTCCACGTGGGTAGAATGGGTGAGGAGACAGTGATGTGAAAAAGAACAAAAGCAACCACCCATACTGCTATTAGAAAGAAGGAAAGGCAAAGCTCACTTTGAGAGTCCGGGGTACTGTTGACAACATGAGGACAGCTGGAGAAGGAGTTGGTTTGTGGTCCTGGTTAGGATGCTGAGTATGGGTTTTAGACTTCGCAAGTGGGAAGACAAAGATATTCCACAGGTGGCTGAGTATTCCAAGAAAGTTCAGGGCTGGAGAGAAACTGGAGAGTCATGAACACTGAGGATGTGGGAATGAGGCCATTGAGGGGGTGTATTGCAAGAAAACAGTGGAGTCGAGAGCAGAACACTTGAAAATACTCCCTTTTACATAAGGAGCAGTGGAAGGCAGAGGAGCCTGCCAAGTGGGCACAGAAAAACGGGGCAAGAGGTCAGGAGAATGCTTCTGCAAAGAGGCCCAAAGGAGAGCACAGGCTCTGCAGTGAGACTGCTCAGTTCAATCCCTCAGCTCTGCCATTTCCTGACTGTGAGACTTAATCTCTCTGGAACTCAGAGGTCTCACCTATTAAATGGGGATGATAAAGTGTATGCCTCTACGGTTGTTGGAAGGATTCAGGTGGTATGATGGAGTGTAAAGTAAGTTGAGTAGGACAAAGTAAGTGTTCAATGAAGTCTTGCCTCTTTTTTTAAAAGATGGAGTCTTGGGCAGGGTGCAGTGGCTTACACCTATAATCCTAGCACTCTGGGCGGCCAAGGAGGGTGGATTGTTTGAGTTTGAGACCAGTTTGAGCAAGAGTGAGACCTTGGCTCTACTAAAAATAGAAAAACTGAGGCAAGAGGATTACTTGAGCCCAAAGTTGGAGGTTGCTGTGAGCTATGATGACACCATGGCACTCTACCCACGGCGACAGTGTGAGACTCTGACTCAAATAAAAAAAAAAAAAGATAAAGACGGTCTTGTTCTGTTGCTCACACTAGAGTGCCCTGGCATCAGCCTAGCTCACAGCAACCTCAAATTCCTGGGATCA